ATCAAAATATAAGTTTTTTTTTTTTGCTAAATATTTCACAAAATTTTTTACAAAAAAATTACAGAAACATTCTCCATTTACTATATAAAACATTTATTTTTCCAAATTTTACATAATAATTTTGATATTTCTTAAAAGTAATTTAAATTACTTAATTTTAAAATAAAATGTATTTAATTAGGAATGCTTACCAAATGTTTATTTAAAATGCCTTAAATGTTTAGTTTACAATACTTTTGTTTTATCAGTAGTTATCAGTAGTAGCATAGCCCTACACCGTGGCTGTCGGCGTCGCTGAAGTGCACCTCTCAAAAAATTTAACTACACGTTGCAACGACGCGTAGCACAAGCTCTGTGATTGGTCGGCTCGGTAGTGCTGACGAGTCTGGTTGGGACCGAGACCCGCACGAATTGCGCGAGCCCAATGGAGCGATTGTTTACAAGTGTGGAGTCCCGTGAAGGAGCTCCGGATGGAAAGTTTTGTTTTGTGTATACCTCATAGTTAAAGTTGTTGCACATCCACCGGTTTCTGCCTCAAAATGAGCGAGTTTGAGCAACTTGTACATTCAGGAAGTGTTCAGGAAAAGCAAAACACCAGCGAAGAAACTCAACACAGAGGAACATTAACACATCACTGCTAACTAGCGTTTCGGAAGTGTTAATGCAGACCAACAGAGACAGCGCGCAAAAGTATAAATGCACAGCTACGCGCGTTGCATGCGCCGTGGGTACGACGGTCACTTGACGCAGAAGTATAAACCAGGCTTTAGCTGCTACTATGTCAGCCAGGATTTTCTTGGGATTTTCAACCAGGTGTAGCTCAGGAGTCTGGGCTGGCCACTTTATTCACTTTTATACACTCTTTGGGTTTAGTCTTTCCTCAGTTTGAAAATGAACTAGATGTTTTAAACTAAATGTGAATGTTTCCAATTACCTACTATATGACTCATTCACTGAGTCACTCATTTACTCACCGACTCACTGATTTACTGGTTCAATCAGTCACTGCTCACTGACTCACTCACTCACTCACTCACTCACTCACTCACTCACTCACTCACTCACTCACTCACTCATTCACTCACTCAGACTCACTCACTGACTGACTCACTTAATGACTCACTCAATCACTGACTCAATCAATCACTGACTCACACAATTACTGACTCACCCACTAACTTACTTACTGACTCACTGACTGACTGACTCACTCACTGACTTACTCACTCAATGACTTACTCACTTACTGACTCACTCCACTAGTCACTGACTCACTCACTTACTGGCTCACTCACTGACTCACTCACTAACACACACACTGACTCACTCAATCAGTTGCTCACTCAGACTCACTGACTTTACTGACTGACACACTCATTCAATGACTCACTCACTTACTGACTCACTCACTCACTGACTCATTCAATCAGTCACTCACTAAATGGCCGAATCACTCACTTAATGACTCACTCACTTACTGACTCATTCACTCACTCATCCAATGAATCATTTACTGACTCACTTAATCAGTCACTGACTGACTGACTCACTCACTGAATCACTCACACTCTCCTTTGGCCAATTCCCTGATTTATCAGGCACATGGTTTACTGCCAAATTCATGTTTGTAACTGTTCCAGACCTAAATAAATTAAATGTACTTTAATGAGAAAAGTGAACTTTGCATAACATCAACAAAGATTAGTCTTATGAAGATGCTGAAGAAAGATTGAGTGACTCCAGGTCTTTCCGTCCAATATCTTTTAAACATCAAGTCACTGCATGTTGAGATCCTTACCTTGTTTAGGACTGGACTGGTGAGAGATTCCAGCTGTAGTGTTGAACCGATTGACATTCTCTGCATTGTTCTTTCCTGTTTTCTATTAGATTTTCATGGATGTCCAGCCTTCTGGTGGAATTTAAATGATTAAATGACATTTTAGCCTAATTCTGTGGAACAACCAATACATATGGCTGAAAGAGTTCTTTGGCCTTTTTCGGGCCCAGTTATTGGAATCATTTTGGCTTGAGACTTCTGGTCTCATTCACTTTCATGGTTTTTTAGAAGTGATAACTGTAAAGGAAACTGACAGTTAGGAAAGTTTGTCAGATAATTGAGGAATTAGATTAAAACCAATAACTGTGAAAATCTGAAAGAGTTCTTTTATTTTGGTCAGTCTTGTTCTTAATACGTCATATAGAGTTTCATATATTCTGTGCTTCAGAATATATGCTTAAAATGGCTTGTTTGCTAATTTAAAAATAACTTCAAATAGGACAGCTGTGAACTTGATGTTTAGGACATTGTAGGTTCTCTAATTCTAATCTCCAATTTATATATCATTACACTCAATGGACACATATCAACATGATAGGTGAATTTCATGATATGAAATTTGTATATTGCTATAACGTTTACTGCTGTCTCATTGCTGTCATTCTCTGAATCACACATTTAATACTGTTGATGGTATCTGTGCATAGTGGATTTACTTTCGTTGTCTAATCAAGGAATTATATACATGCGGGTATTTCCCATATGTAGATTATAGTACTGAATTACAGCTCTTGTACTGTACAAGTGCAGTTCAATTAACAGCAACTGTTGTTAATAAGGGCTTAATAATTTGTAAACTTTTGTTAAGCTTTGTAGCAAATTAAATGAGTAGCATTTGTGAGATCTATCAAATCTAGGGTTAAATCTTTTTGCTAATGTGTACTCACTGACAATTGGTGCAAAAGTATTTTGAAACAATTTATGGACATTTACAGCGACCTTTCAAGAGACCTATTTTCTAAGGGCATTTCAAGTGAAAGCTCTAAGTGTCTGTCCATCTCGTACACAATTGACCAGGATGAACACCATGCAAAGGTCACGGCAATTCTTCTGCTAACATTCACTCCAGGGAGAATCTCCTAAATAAGTAATTTTCTTTCTCTACTCTTACTCTTTCATTTCAGTGTTTAAAGTTCAACACAATACAATGGCCAGCTGGCATGGCATGCAATTTGACTGTCTTATTTCAAGTGTTTGGTTAGGAGGAAAGGTAAAATCTTTGTAAACATACTTATCCATTAACATAATTACAGGTGGTTTGTCAAGACCACTCACCTGAATATATATATATGTATATATATATATATATATATATATATATATATATATATATATATATATATATGAAGAGTTCTGATATACTAAACGGCATTTCCATCAAAAATGAGCTAATGACTGTCATTTGTCAATGTCAATGTAATTTTTTTTTGCTTCAAATCATATCAATCGCAGCATCAGTGCATTCAGAAATAACAGTCTGTATGCAAAAGCCTCTAATTGCCACTTGCCTTTGACAGCAAAAGCGCTATATCTCGAGAACCAATCAGAATTGTTTTTTGGATTTTGAGGCTTTTGGATCTGAACTCTTCTTTTTTTATATGCATTTATTTTTTTCAGTTTTTTTCATAACACGAGTTCTTGTCGATAGCATGTTACAGTCGTGAACAATGTTCATGAGTTTGTAGTTTGCTATGACCCATTTAGTAATGGAATACCTTTACTTTGCAGTTGTTGGCTTGCACTACTGCACTTATTCAGTCCTTTGATTTGCATGGTTGGTTGACTCTCTCTGCACTGATATTTTGCTAACATCTACAAAAATATCTTTGGCCCAAAGATGGTATACTTCCGGCTTCAAGGAAGGACAGTTCATCACTACAACAAGTAAACTTTGGTTTTACCCAAACTTCCATCTGGATGCTTTTATAGCAATTCTTGCTGTCCATCATACAATGATATGGCTATTAAATAACATCAATTCTTGTCTTAAGACAATTTTGAAAAACCTTTTATGATCTATTTCAAATATTTAAATAACATCACAGCCTGCATAGAGACTAAGCCTTGGACACCAGCATGACAACAACCTAAAACACAGCAAAAGTGGTGAAGAAATGGTTGACAGACAAAAACATTGGCATTTTGCAGTGGCCCAGTCAGAGCCCTGACTTAAATCCAATTGGGAATCTGTGGAGAGGACTAATGATCAAGATTATGGTAAGGAGACCTTCCAATCTGAATGATTCTGTGCTCATTTCTAAAAATGAATGGACAAAAATACTAGTGGAGACTAGTGGATGCAAAAAGCTACTCAATAAGAGTTTTCCAAAAAAAAAAAAATGTTTTTTTCAAATATAAATAAAAACATTTCCACATGGATGTCTCTTGTACATCATCTTATTATCTTGTGGGAGAAGCTTGTTATTTGGGGTCAAAAATAAAATTGCTGGTTGAATTAAAGTAACTTTAAATCAGAATTTGTTTGGGCTGTAAATAATTTCAGATTGACTGTAAATGTATTTCTGTATTTCCAGTTGTACAACAGTTATGTCTGGTTCTCAAATCTGATAGCTGTTCAATATTCTGCAATATCAGAATTTGTATGGCCTCCTCACCCTTATGTAGTACTCCACCCATATAGAGTGACAGCGCATCAATAAACTCACTACAGTTTGCAAATATTGCAGCTGTTGGACAACATAATGTACTTTTGAGGCTTTTTTTAGATGAGAATGTAGTTGTTTAGATTGCATCTATGCAGTTTGTTTATAAGGATAGTGCCTACTTTTAAATATTTATACTTTCTGAGATACAGTGCATTGACATCCATCAGCCTGTCATTGAGCAGAGCAAAGACAATAGACGTTGTTCATTCACAAGATGGTGACAGAGACAGCATAATATACCCCTTAAAAGAGAAAAGATCAGCGTATTTTTGTATTTTACAGCTGATCAGAACATTCTAAAATTAATGAGGGACATTCTAAGTTGGTCTCTTTATTTTGTATTTTGCGGTGCTGTATTTATACCATAGTAACTGTAGTGTACTATCGGTCAAAATAAATATAAAATGTGCAATTAAAATAAAACAAGAACAGAAGCACTCTTGATACATGTTTCAGAGAACCTTTAGAGGATGAACAACATACACACAAACAATGTATACATTTCTGATTCTTTATTTATCGTTACTAGAGAGGGTTAAAGATATTACATCAGAAGACCTGGCCACTTCAGAATATCCTGTGCATTTTAGAAAGTGTAGCACCATTTTGGAGACAAATCCAGCGCTGACAGGGAGAATATTTGACCTAATGTTTATTCAGCACTATTTCAGAAACAGTCCATACAGGCAGAGTATATGAGACACAGAACAATGAACGATATTAAGACATGAGATACAACACAGAAAAAGAAAAAAAAAATCAGCTGAATAAACTCCACCTTACTCTTTCAGAAGTCCTCATTTAGCATTTCCAACATTATCCTTCTTGCACTTTCAGGTTTTCCTTCCTTTTTTCATATCCTTTCCTTTATGCTCCCACTGACTCTTTGTCCTAGATTTCTGCATGTCTGTTATTTAAATATTAATCCTACCCCTGGTAATTACGAGACCTTTCTAAAATAACACCAAAATTGCACATGTAATGACGCAGACAACATTTACAGGTGGTTTTAACACACATACTGCAGTGCAACATCTGAGGGCATACAATCCAAGCCACATACATGCTTAGAATATATTCCCTAGTCCACAAAATTGTGTTTTTAGTCTGTTTTTAATCATTTTAAGGCATGGTCCTGATTAAGAGCTAAATCATTTCTCAAAATGAATCAAATTTAATGTAGTTAACTGGTCATCATATATTTTTTGCATTAATTAAAACTCAATAAAGATTCCTATATACAAATTCCTGGTATAAAGTAAATAACCAATATAGAATGCAACACAAAGACCACAGTGAACATAAACATACAGAAATGCACATCACATGAGGTTGAACATGGATCTCAAGAAAACCATGGAGAGGCAGTATAACATAGAATAAATGCCACACATCAAATGCTGGAGAGCATATAAGCAATCCATTTTGTGAAACACATATAAGACCAATTCAGAATGATCAAATGATTCATCTGGTTGGTTCAGGGATTTTAAAAAAGAGAAATACTCTGTCTAATTGTTTCAAACCTTTTGTATGAGTTTTTGCTCTTTGTATATGTTGAAATTGATCACCAGCTAAATTTTAAAGGGAGACTTACAAGACGTATCGCATCACCTGACCATTGACAATTATTACAGCAAGTTTGCACACATACAGTCAACACGTGCTTCTGTAACCCTGCAGGCATGTAGCAACAGATACTTGGATTGTATCTCTATCTAGGAAGCGAAGATGGCCAATGTTAGTCTGTTAAACTCGCTGCGACTGGTGAGTCTGTAGGGCAGACATCCTCCCTCTCAAGTTTTTGCTTCCCGTCCATTTCACTCTCTTCCATCTCAGTGTTTTCCTGCTTGGAGAAGGGCTCAGAAGATGGTGCTCCAGCGTTTGGGTGGAGAGCGAGATCGGCTTTCTCCCTGAGATTATAGAAGAAAACCAGTGTGGTCATCATCATTGTTGAAACATTCTCAACGGCGCTGTTGGATTATGCAAAATTAGTTTTGAAACATATAATCAGGGGTGTAAAATACTTGAGTAATTTGACTTCTTTACTGTATAGAAGAATTATTTTGGGTGTTTTTGTACTTCATGCATTAGGGTTAGGGTTTGCGTCTTACAATTCTAAGTGAAGTTTCTTAAACTAATTACAAGAGGAGCACATGATAGGATTGACTACAGCTGATCCCTATCACTAATCACTAACTAGCCAATTGGATCACTCTAAATTCAATATAAATATCCAGTCTAAACTTCATTCCTAATCTTTGTTTTGGAAACCCCCCCCCTATCCATCCCTTCTCTCTCCTCTTCAGTTAGGGCGACACGGTGGCTCGGTGGCTAGCACTGTTGCCCCACAGCAAGGAGGTCGCTGGTTCAACACTAGCTAAGCCAACCTATACTCTCTGTGCGGAGTTTGCATGTTCTCCCCGTGTTCGCTTGGGTTTTCCCCGGGTACTCCGGTTTCCTCCCACACTCAAAAACCATGCAACAAAAGTTAAAGTCACAAGCACTTACTACAAACTAGCGCAGCTAGTGGTCTATTTTGGGAAGCTATCGAGAACAACCTGATCTCATTTCCCTCATAATGCTTAGTGACCAGGCGGGAGCCTTAGGCCCATCTATTACCAAGCTCAGGGTTCTCTCCCAGGACAGCATGCCAAACTTGCTTATATAGTCAAGCATTATCTAAGTGTGAACTCTTGCACTGACTTTTCTAAAGAGGAAACATTTAACTTCTTACTATTTTATTGAAACCTAAAAATTAGACTAGTTAGATTTGCTATTTTTTTCCCCATCTTATTTACATTAAATATGATAAATAGACAATTAGTTATGTGTATTTTGGCCAATGCAATTTTACGGTTATTCATAACTTTTTGATTGGTGGCAAATTCGTATACATTTTTATGACCGCATTTGGTACGAATTTCTTGGTACGAATTTAGTACAAATTTTAGTATGAATTTCTCATCCACCCAATAGCCTTTGGCCTTAAGAAAAATGTTACTTTGGCTTTTAAAAATGTTACATATTTACACAATTGAAATTGTACAATTATGAATTAAATACTTATCTGACAAAATGTAAATTAGTTTTTTTTTTTTACTATTTTACTACACAGCATTGTTTTAGCTTGTTAAACATCTGTGGAAAAAATAAAGAGACCACAAGAAAAGTTCTCTCAACTTATGAATTGTTGTTATGTGTAAATATATTTTTGACATTCTATTATTGATGGCATATATTCTGAATTTTAAATTGCAATATTGTATACTTTTCAGCGTGTGAATATAAGTCAGGGTTTCTGAAGATTTTAAGACATTTTTAAGACCATTATAAATTTAATTTTTAGACTTACACATGGTTAAATGCTAAGGATTTTTTTTTTTTTCGAATATTCCAGTTAGAAAAGATTTTCACTTGCCCTATGCAAAAATTATAAAAACAACAATACAATAATAATAATTTAGTATTTTTGTTTTTCAATAATATTTTTTAAATATTTGTTTTTATTAATTTTCAAATAAATCCATTCACAAATGCTATAACCCTTACCAAGAGTAGAACAAAACATAGCTGTCAATTACTTCAGCCTTTTGTACAATAATAATACAATTAAAAAGAAAAAAAAAACAAAAACAGGAAAATAAAGACCTGTTAAAGAAAGATTAAGGACCTGTAGCACAACATTTCAGTAGACTTAAGACTTTTTAAGGCCTAAAATCTAGCTTTTGAAATTTAAGACATTTTGAGACCTTTTAAGACCCCGCAGATACCCTGATAAATGCAAAAATAGTGCCATGTTTTTAGACATATTCATTTTTAGACGACACAAAACCAATAGTATAATTTCAGAATTAAGAAAGGTAAGCCTTAAGAAATCATTATTTGATGGAATAACCCCAATATTAAATAACAAATGTTTCATTTGCTAGAACTTTTTTTTCAATGTTTAGTAACATTTTAAAGTTGTACTTTTTACTTTAACTCAAGTATACTTACAGCGAGATAATTGACTCAAATTTTCACTTAGCATCTGCATTTTACTTGAGTATCATATTAGGGTACTTTTTACACCCCTGCGCATATTACGGAAAAAATAAATGCTGAAGCTTGCACAGAAATGGCACATAGCATCAGCAGAATGAGTGAGGGACAGACAGTCAATGTCAAAACTAATAATAAAAAGCACACAATGTTGTGTCATCTATATTGTAAGAGCATTACCCAGCCATAACAAGCTCTGCTACATTTCTAAAAGAGTGATCTGAGCACTCAGCGTTCTAGTTGTACAGCATAATGGAGGAGGAGAGCCAGGCTGATTTGATTGTGTCCTCTGTTCAGGAGAGATTGTCTTGTAAAAAGTGCAAAAGAGAGGAAAAAAGGAAATTAGCCAAGAGAGCAGATGAGGTTGATGATTTGAGTTAAATGTGAGCATCAGCGTTCTGATGTCAAATGTCTAAAGTTATCACAGTAGCATTTTTAAAAATAGACCAAATACCTGCTAATATAGCTTTGGAAAAAAGGAAGAGCTTGAAATTGGTTATCAATTCTTTGCATTTGCAATAATAGGTACTCGTTTGAAGTAAAATGTTCATTTGAGTTATATTTTAGAAACTGCAGACAGTCTGGCAACATACCAACAACATATTGTCCTGTTTTAAGAAATAATATGCCAATATTAAGTGAGTTTTTCCTTAAAAAAGCAAAATAATCTGCCAATGGGGTAAGCAAAATAATCCTGTTTTTCCTTTCGACATTATTTTTATTTTGCTTACCCCACTGGCATATTATTTTGCTTGTTTTAAGAAAAAACTGAATTAAATTTGGCATATTTTTTCTTAAAACAAGGCAATACGTTTTGCTTGACTAGAAAATTCATCTTGATTTAAAATAGTTAGATAGTTGGACCAGACAAAAAGACATTTAAGTAAGAAAATAATTTTTTGCAGTGTATGTCATTTAATTGCAAAAAAAATTACAATTATAAGCTATTTAGACCATCAAGTTTTTATGTATACAATTCCCCCTAGGGGGGACTATATATATTTGGGTCAAATAAGGATCTATGTTTATTGTTTCAATATAATTTAAATAAATAATCATCCCATTTTGAGGTTACATAAAGTTAAATTGAAGCCTTAAATGACTTCAAAGAAATCTAAATATACTTTGAGAATCATATGGACCAGTTTCTTAATGTTTCATTTCCTTATACTGTCATGTTGGTCTCCATCTACTTTCATTATATAAAGAAAAAGCACCTCAGACATCCTGATTAACATCTCTAATTTCCTTCCAAGCAAGAAAAGTCTTACAGGTTTGGAAAGACACAAGACAGAATCTTCATTTCAATGTGAACGATTCCTTTCAGGAGCAGATGATGTTCCTTAATCCACTGAAAATCAAATCTCATTGGGAATCAATAAGCACGAGCATGAAGAGATGTGAATGTGCCCTGCACCTGGCAAAAGTTCAAAATGCTTGTTATGATGAGATGTTCAATGGCTAACCAAACATAAGTAAGGTAAGGGCACATGGTAAGACTCAACGCTCACTGTAAAATTGAAACAGATGTGACGGGTCTTCTTTATACCTTAAATAAATATTGATTTTGAAAGGCTTGAGTGAATAAATAACCCTCAATGACTGCTAAAAGTCTGCGCAGGCCTTGCTGACAGGGTTGGTGTCATTACTTTGCAGAGAGATGGATATAATTGGACTTGCATATTGAGGGTGACTTTGGGTCAGAAACAGAAGCAGTCAATATGATCAAGGACAATTACATTGTCACATGCCTCTGAACACAAAAAGAGAGTCCTAGATGGTTTCAAAGCAATATACTATGCTATCGAAATTTTTAATTGACTTAATTACATCTCGACGTTCTTTGTATATGTTTGAATAGCTGCATTGGATAAACCGTAATTACGATGAAATAAGAATATCCTCTTTTAGATGGCTTAAAATAGATTTAAAATGCTGTATGACAGTCTTCGCTGACTTCTTTTGTGCTGCTTTTGGCTCACCAGGTTGAAGATTCTGGAAAGTGTGTTCTGTTCCCTTCTGCGTCTCTGTGGCGATCTAATGCTCTCCGAGCCGCGTGCTGACGGGGAAGCCTAAAACACATGGTTTATGAACAGGAGAGGAGGCCAGTGTGCTTAAATGATACACTGGTAAAAAAAATTTTGTTCTTGGTAAAATTATGTCAAAATGGGCATTACAAATGTTGATGTATGACATCATGCTCAATGATTTTGTTCAGCTTTAAATATCAACACTCAAACAATGAAATCAGTGTACAGTATTTTAATTTAACAATGCATTCTTATTTAGGCATTTGTGTTGTTCCAGGATGTGATTTGTATTTTGTAGTTTTACATTATTAAATTATATTTATGCAGTTGATATATTACATTTATATTTAGTTGACCAATTATTAGGCTACTGAAAAAAAGAAAAAAAAAACCTTTGATAAAAAAATACTACTTTAAATATAAATGTGAAATAACTGTATTATATTTTGATAATAGTAATTCAATTCATGTTTATTTATGTAGTGCTTTTTACAATGTAGGTTGTGTCAAAACAGCTTAACATAGTTCTAGTAAATTTTAAATATTAAAAATAATAATAAATAATATTTATATATGTATTTATATTAATAATAATGTTAAAATTGATAATTATTATTAATAATAAAACAACAATAATAATAATAATAATAATAATAATAATAATAATAGTTATTATTATTATTATTATTATTATTATTATCTAAAACATAAATGTAAACTAGTGTCAAATTTGTGGATTTAAAGGATAAAAGACATCAAAATGATTGCCATTTTCAAAACTCATTTACTTATAATTTAGTGCACTTTGAGTCAAGCAGCAGTGGCACCAAAATCCTTAAGATTCTGTAAAATTTTCACAAGACTATTATTAAAATGTATTAAATATAGCTCTCAAAATCTGTTTGTTTGTTTGTTTTACAGAAAAAAATGACTTAAAAGCTGTTATATGAATGTCAAGGACTTTGATGGTAAAATGACTTGTAAAACAAACAAGCATACAGTCCTGGGGCCTGTTTCAGAAAGGAGGTTCAACTAACTCGGACTTTAAACTTGAACTCTGAGTTGACTTACTGAGAGATTAAAACTCAAAGTTTTCGGTTTCAGAACAGCTGATCTGAGTTAGGTCAATCAAGTCTGAGTAGACCAAAGCTGCGGTCACACTGGACTTTTTTCCCCATAGACTTCCATTCATATGCACGCGAATGCGTCAGACCAGAAATGCAAGCTTGTGAGATAAGTTTTGCAGTTTGCTGCATTGCAAATTTCCAGCTTGATAAACTCTGACCTGTGAAATTGCATCACTTGACTGCGTGAGACCAATCGAGGATAAAAACATGATCTCTCTAACAGAAATATTTAAAATATGGTCCCATCGCTTGCTTTTTTAAATGTCTAATCGTCTTATTTAATCCTGACACTTTTTGCAGTGCCATACTACAGAATTTTGCAAGCTCAAACTTTAATGTGACCACAGCTTAAAGATGCGGTCAAGCTGGACTTTTCTCACTATAAACTTCCATTCATACCTACGCAAATGCATCAGACAGAAACGTAAGCTCGTGCGACAAGTTTCACAGGTTGCTGCGTTGGAAAGTTCAAGCTTGGTAAACTCTGACCTGCAAAACTGCATTGCATGATTGCATTAAACTAATCGAAGATCAAAACATAATTTCCCTGTAGAAAAATTTAAAACATGGGTCAATCTCTCGCTTTTTAAATGTCTAATCATCTAGTTTAATCACGCCCCTTTTTTTGTAGTGTTGTACAACAGAATTTAGCATGCACAAACTCTAGTGTGACCGCAGCATAATTGAGATAATTGCACACACCGCGACTATGAAAAGGACAATTATTAATGGAGCGCAGATATAACGAGTCACCATGACAACATTAGAAAAAAAGAGATCAGCATTTTTTTCTCCAGCTGAACTTGGTGTGCTCATGCAAAGTTATAGCAAATATGACCATATATTTACAAAAGCAACACCACTGTATAAGTGAAACAGAGACAGCATGGGAAAACAGCTGCTCAAGGTAATGCGTAAGTTTATGTTAAAAATGTTTAAAGTATTTAACTATAACAAAAAAAAAGATAATGTAATGCGTGACGTTTACAGACTTTTCACCTGAAAAAGGGGGGATTGGCCATTATTTTAAAGTTATTTCAGATGTAATTGCATTACATTATAAAATAGGCTACTGCATAGTTTCTACCACAAATTAGACCAAACAAGTATGCATATACTGCAATCTTAACTTAGTGTTCAGTGAAAATGTTAAATTCAAGGTTTCCACTTTTACACACGTTGATCAGTTTGAGATAACATTTGTGAAATTGAGCTTTTAAAAGATTTAAAAGTGCATTTGTGTGTATGCCTTTTTATTGGTCAAGTGGTCGAGATTGATATGGCATTTAAAATGTAAGCAGTACTAAAAACATTTTTAGAATGAGTAATAATCCCATTCATCTAGTTACAGTACATGTCCCTGTCGAAGGTCAGTAAAGTTAAGCTAATTATTCATTAAAAAAGGACAAGCCATTCTGGTATCTTTGTTCTTTGTGTCACTGAAATGTACGCAGTAGCTACGTTTCCATCCACCCATTTTTATTAGCATTTTGGATATGCGCATAAAAACCGGTTGATGGAAACCCTGAGATGCACATCAATTTTGAAAAAGCGCATAAAAAACTTGCGCGTAACTGAGTAGGATAAACTTTTTATTTGATAAGAGAAGATGCACACAAACTACGATGGAAACACTTTTACCGATCAAATTCCAGTATGTGCATTTAAAAAGTCATGTGATTTTGCAAAAAGAGATCATGTAATCATAAAACTGTGTGAGAATAGACAAACTAGCAGGCTGAGCACATTGTAAAACATCTTAAATGTTGTTTTGTACATTTTAAAACACCATAACCATTTGAGTATTAGTGTTATTATGCTATTAATTACCTTCAGAATCAAAAGCATCTGTGCTCTGCGTCTCACGCTTTTTGTTGTTACTTCAGTTGTTACTGAAAATGCTTGTGGTTACAAAAGTCTTTCATCTTGTTTGACGCTTGAACAACTAAATGAATGCTTAAGTCTATTTAAGTGAATGTATCGTAATTACATTACAACAGCGATGCTGTAAAAACACCTTTGTGATATTGAAAATAGTCACATTAATCTTTCATCGGAAGTTTATCGTTGGCTTTAAAACTCTAGCTATTCATAGAGCCCATTCACATTCGCAAACAGCTAATGAATGACTAAGGCTAAGACAAGAACTACTGCTTTGTCTTTAAAAAGAAGGAGACTGACAGAAACTCAGACTTTAGAGAATAAAATCTGCTTCTGACCAGGTTAGGTTCACAGAGTAAATTACCACAGTAACTGACTCTTAAATAAAAGTTGCCTCTCTTTCAGAAACAGGCTTGAATTACCCTACTTTCTTGATTTTTTTAAAAGGGAAAACCTAGAGATTCTCTTATTTCAGGGTTAATTTACACTGATTTTTCACTAAACCTCCTTTCTGAAATGTGTCCCTGTAGTCTGCCTTGGTTGTTTTGGTTGTACTAATGCACTCACCTAAATAAGTTTAAATGTCAACAAAGATATAATAGATTTTTAATCAAAGATTGAAAAAAGGATGAGGTAAATATAATTTTGCCTTATTTTGACATCTTGTTCTACAGCGTAAAGCACACACAACTCTAAATAAATAAATAAACATGTTTTAAAAGTTGTTTTCAAGTATTGTCAAGATAATTTACCACTGATCTTATTTCACTCCTGAATTAAAAAAAAGCCCACTATAAAAACCTGCAGGAATTTAATGCAGGAATTAGTGAAGATGTAAAGTCATGACTCCAGCAATCTATTCAATTTGATGGCACAAAAATGACATCTTCATCTATTTTATGCAGTCTCACAAAAGTCTGAGAACATTCCATGACTGTAATCGTCTTATAATCTTGTGATATAGTATAATATGTAGATATTATAGATGTAGTATTTTCTTGTTTATTTTTGTTTAAAGAACAGATTTCTGCAACAACAGCAAAAGAAAAGCCTACTTTTGAAGTATGCAATAGTAAGTTGAAACATATAGATAATGTTATGCTTGCCAGATTTCAAGTATTAAAGAAAGGGATGATTTTAAGACGACAACTGTGCAGTAAAGGCCAATAATCATAACAGGGGTTATTGACATTTCCAGCTACTATAAGAAGGTATTAATGTCAAAATGTATCCAATGCAACATGTCTGCGGTTTGCATGCATGCCTTCATGTATTGGAGCCTGTGGAGTTAAACAACACGTGACTGAAACACAGAGGGCACTGGTGAGTCAGTGAATCAAGACCTGGGAAGGAGTAGATGGGTTGGAAAATGGGTTTATGGGGAGTGAACAGTTTGAAGACCCCTAGAAAGAAAGCTGCTTTACCGGCTGCGAACCAGAAAAAGTCTTGCTGCCTCAAAGTCATCAAGAAGCAGAGAGTCGCTCTGGTTCAGAAGGAATTCCATAATGTAAAAAAAAAAGAGTGCAACAATCAAGGTGCAAAAAAATGCAGTTGACAGAAAGAAAGAAATCAAAAACAATCAAAAAACCAGTCCTCTAATCATTTCAGTGCTTGAGATCACTCTTTCAAACATTATAGCACAGCTAAAAGCTGTGGAAATGTAAAATCACGTGACTGATAAGTATAACATGTAAATAGGTTTGCACATTTAATTTTACAAGAGTGTCTTAAAGGGATAGTTCACCACAAAATGAAAATTACCCCATCATCTATGCATTATGAGTTTCTTTATGTTGAACACAAAAGAAGATATTTTAAAGAATGCTTCCACAGTATTTTGTTTCCTTCTATGGAAGTCGATAGGTCCTGGCTACAGTAAAAAAAGTATTCATTTTATTTACAATTTTTATTTTTGTGTTTGCAAACTATTTGTATGGGCTGAATTTAAACATAAAATGTAGTAATGTTCAACTTACTTTGTTTAAAATCAGCCCATCTAAATTGTTTACGACCACTTATCTTTAAAAAATTGGTAAATAAAGTTTAGAATTTTTTGTGTTTTTTTGGTTTTCTATGGTGGCTGAGAGAGCTTAATGTGCTGCGAATCCTCACAATGCAATGACAATTGAAATAAAACACGCTGCATTTTCACACAATGAAAGCAATTGATAAAAGACGCTGCATTTTCACACCATACAAACAATTTATGAAAACATCGGCATTTTTTCACAGCACAACGAAAATGTTTCAATGGCACCCTAAAACTTGACTGACATGGCTATTTAGATTATGGCTTTTTAGGCTGATAAATATTAAAGCCAGGAGAATCTGGATATTAAAATAAATAAACAAAAAACTCACCTGTCAAAGATCACCTACAAGTTCACTGAGCATAGTCACAGCACAGTGGCGTTTGTCACATTTTTTGGGTCCCCTTGAAACATTTTCATTTTGTTCAGTTCTTTATGTGTTGTGAGAAAATAGAGCATGTTTTTGTAAAACGTTTGAGTTGTTAGAAAATGTAACACGTTTTCGTAAAATGTTTGCATTGTCAAAAAATGCAGCGCGTTTTCATAAAAGGTTTGCATCGTGAGAAAATGCAGCACGTTTTTGTAAAATGTTTGCATTGGGAAAAAATGTAGCGTGTTTGTGTTATGAGAAAATTCAACGCTTTTTGGTAAAATGTTTGCGTTGTTAGAAAATGCAGCATGCTTTCGTAAAATGTTTGTACAGTGAGAAAATGCAGCGTGTTTTCGTAAAATGTTTTCGCTATGAGAAAATGCAGCATGTTTTTGTAAAATGTTTGCGCTATGAGAAAATGCAGCACGTTTTCATAAAATGTTTGCATCATGAGAAAATGCAGCACGTTTTTGTGAAATGTTTGCATTGTGAGAAAATGCAGTATGTTTTCGTTACATGTTTGCGTTGTGAGAAATGCAGCATGTTTTTTTAAAAATATTTACATTGTGAGAAAATGCACCACATTTTTGTGAAATATAAAATTGTAAGAACATGTGTTTTCCTAAATTGCAGCACGTTAAGCTCTCTTGGCCACTGTAGTAATACTAAAAAAAAAAAAAAAACATTTTATTAACAATTTTTTTTAAATATAAGTGGTCGCAAACAATTTTATATGGACTGAATTTAAACAAATTAAGCTGAACATTACAAATTGTTTTTTTTTTTTTTTAACATTAGACCATATTGTTTGCAACCACTTACCTTTAAAACATTTTACCTTTTCTCAATTTGCAGATTTTTTTTTTGTAATTGCACTTGTTTTCATAAAATGAAGCATGTTAAGCTCTCTTGGCTACCATATCTACCAGCATTCTTCAAAATATCTTCTTTTGTGTTCAACAACAACAACAACAAAAGAAACTCAAGTAAGGTAGGAACATGTGAAGGATGAGTGAACAATGATGAAATTTACATTTATGGTTGTACTATCCCTTCAGAATGTGCAGTGATTACATTCAAATTAAAAGTGGCTAAATTGAAACCACAATGGAATAGTGCTAAAACTTCAGTAAGAGTTTGACATGCCTACATTTAACAGCCCTCAATTAACTGAAAAGTGCAGTCAATCTATGGGTTTTGTAGGAAATTAATCCACTTGTATCCCACAGGTTAACAAGAAGATCGCGTGAAGCACAGCAAAAAAGTTCAGCAGCTGTAATTAGAGCGATGCATTGGTTAATTCACAAAAGAAGAGAACAGATGATTAAGGAACGCGACATCTATTAGAAACGAGACATGGGACAAGAGGACTTCCTGCAATCAGATCTGTTTAAGAGGGAGTCTGTGAATACAAACGGGATTCACGTCAAAGACGAGTGACGTACCAGGCCCAATAGTTCTCTCCACTGCACATGAAAAGAAAAAAAAAAAAAAAAAGAATGTAGAATGATTATTCTGCGTCTCAGGTCAAATTATAATTTTATTGCTGGATAGGAAAGGGCAAAGAAAATGATCATGGGTCAAATCAATTCTGCTAGCTGTATTATTATTATAGTACGTTGGTGGTAACCTCAGTTAAAAAAGCCAATGGTGGCCTAATAAAGTGTTACAAATATCCAACTCTTCATTTACGGCTCAAGCAAAGCACTTTCCTTCATGAATGCATGAAAATGAAGCATTTCAATCAAACTGGATTAGATATTTGTTAGCTGAAAAATGACAAATAAGACTCACCCTCGACTTAGGACGAGGAGAGGACACCTTCAAAGAAAAAAAAAAAAAGAGTTGCAATCCAGTCATTTTATGTATTCAAAAGCTGTATAACAAGCCATTGCAGTATCCAGTGTAATACAAACAAGATAAGCAGTCCTTGAACAAAGACTTTTCATTTTAAAGATGTTTGCAGGGGACTTTCATCAGGCTTCCTCACAGTTTTTGGATGAATAATGAAGGCAGAGACTGTATCTTTTTAATGAATAACCTCGCATAACTGGGAAACAACTACACAATTAGTGTTTCCCAGAAAGCCATTTTTAATTTAGGACATGAGTAATGGGGAAACACTAGCAGACATATCTAGTTTCCACAGAAATGATTGTGTGTCTTCAGGGGAAAATTGCAAAAAATGAGAATGAGATTAGACTGCAAACTAGTCCGAGGCAAGGAGATAAGACTTCAAACTTATCATATAAAATATTGATTAAAGAAATATTACACATATAAAAATTTTAAATGAGTAAAAAATAGGATGTTTACTTCATGTGAACTTTAATATTAAACTAATTTCGAGAGGAGCACATGCTCATGATTGACCCAGCTGGCCCACATTAGCTAATCACCATCCTCCAATAAAAGGATTTAAAGTCATTATATATATCCTCATTTCCTTTCTACAACTATCTTTGTCTGGAAGAAATCCCCCTCCTTCCACCTTTATCCAGACTGGGTGGCACGGTGGCCCAGTGACTACCAGTGTTGTCTCACAGCAAGAATACCAGTGGCTCTGGGTCCTTGCTGGGCCATCTAGTATTTCTGTGCGGAGTTTGCATGTTTCCCCCCGGGTCCATGTGAGTTTTCTCCCACTGTCCAAATATGCTCTATATTATAGACAAAATACATATTTTTCTAAATGTCTTACACTCAGGAAGTTCACCTTAGCCTCAGCAGGGAGTTTTGAGCTCATCCTGAGCTCAAGCTTAACTCGCCCTGTGAAAGGAAGGGAGCCATGGGCCTGAGAATTCCTTGAGATCAAAATCATTTGTTATGTAGCATGAATCTGCTAGTGAAGTGATGACTCGTCAGTTTCCCATTATTATTCATAGCTGAGTTTTCTTATTCTATGAGAAGACCCTGCTTCTTAACTATTCATGACTCTGACACAGTATTTAGCTGTTCATGAAGACTTGTATGTGTTTGTTTTCATGATTCACAGAATTTATTGCATGGCTTTCTCCATGATGCTGTCAGGGCCACTGATACAGCCTACCTGTTTTTGTGCAGCAAGCATTTTTGTTGAGAGAGCAGTAATTGGAGAATAGCGGACTTCATATTTTATCAGTTGAGTTTGTTAACATTCAGACACATTGCCTATATCTGTGTTTGCCTATGTTTAAAATCCTCCGGATTACCTGCAGAACTAATGGTTGGAATAAATAGGCAAAGAGACCTGCTGTACTGCTATTCACTGTGTCTGCATTCAGACCCAAAGAATGAGGAGGAGAGAAGTCCTCCTCATTTAGTAAATAACAACGATAATCTTTACAATGATATAACAAACAATGATATAAAAATGGTTTTATATTATACTAAATTATGAATAGTCTACCATAGATGTCACAGCATTAAATTCCTTAGTGTGTTTATTTGCTTTTTAACTTTGTTACCTATAAAATCATGCATCTCCTCACATTTTGTATCAGATTTTTTTTTTCTTGAGCTGATGAGCCAACTGACAAAAGCCCTTCTTTTTGAACATGCTCTGCTGGCCAAGCCCACTCCTCCCTCTGTTTGCAGTGCTCCAAGCCCATCTCGGATCATTTATTTATTTTTATTTTTAAGGGGGGATTCATGGCTCTTTAAAGAATGCTTGAAACTGGTAGCCATTGGCATCCAAAAAATATGAAGTACAGTGGTCCCTTGCCATTATACAGTTAACCTTTCGCAGTCTTGCAGTTTCACAGATTTTATTTATTATTATTATTTTTTATTTTTTTGTGTGTGTGTGCAATTTGACGATTTTTTTATTACGCATTGTGTTCTGCGTCCTGATTGGCTGTAGGCTAATCAATCGTCAATCAATCTCCTCCTGGTCATGACCCCTGTACAGTACAGAATGCGTTCAGCTTGCTAAATTTACGTAAGTCTTTGATCGTTAGTAGTGTGATTCTGAACTGCTTTACTGTATGTTAGCAAGTTTTTCCCCAACAAACCCCATAATGTCGACAAAATATTCTGCACCATCAAAGAAACCAACGGTAGCACCCAAAAGGCAGAGGAAGATGCTCACCATCGCGCAAAAAGTTCTGGACATGCTAAAGGAACGTAACAATTACACGAGTGTATAAACAAGAGAGAAAAAAGTGAAAATGTCAATGTCTATCTGAAGCTTTTATCGAAAAATAAAGCAGACTATTTGTGGGTTTTTGCCTATTGTAAGCTATTTTTAGAACGTAATAACGAGGGACCACTGTGCTACAAAGTACCGGATACCGGATTAATAACATTCTTTAAAATATCTTCTTTTGTCATAAACAAAATACAAAAACTGAAACAAGATTTGATCAAGATGTATTATGAATAATTAACGATAGAATTTTCATTCTGGGTGAACAATCCCTTCAACAAAATTATTTTATGGACATTTTCAGTTGTTTACTACATACTACATACTGTCTGGGTGGCTGATGTAATACACTGTTTCTCAACCACGTTCTTGGAGGACCACCAGTTCTGCACCTTTTACATGTTTTCTTAACCAAACACATCTGATTCAGATAATCAGTTCATTAACAGAGTCTGAAAGACCTGTAACAGGTGTGACAGACAGAGAAGACATCCAAAACATGCAATGTTGGTAGTCCTTCAGGAACATTGTTGAGAACCACTGATGTAATATATAATATAACATATTTTTATTCTGTTAAATTTGTTTCCCTTTCTCTGTATTATTTATATAATATATTATTTAGGACTACTAAAATGTCATTAAATCCACTTCAAAACTTCAAAGTTGAATTTTCAGCATTAAGATTGTGGGATCAAGATCCAAAATGCAATGCTACATTTAAATGAATCGTAAAAAAACATGTGAATCATCACGAGCTATTGACTACAGACAATATTTTTTTACAATATACAAGATACACATATTCATTTATTTTCATGCCAATCTCTGACTTTCAAAGAGTGACTCATTCTTTTTTACATAGAAGAAGATCTAACATTAGTGATGTAAGTGTGTGTAATGTTGACTGTCTGACAGATAAACAAGTCTGGACTATTGTAGCAAAGAAAACACGGGCGGCATGTTGAACATGACGACAAACTTGGCCTGTGAACTTGGCTAGACACTATGTGGCATGTCTAGGGCAAAAGAAACCTTATGCTTTGCTTGTATTATTGATATTTGACTCAAGCTTTTGAAATAAATATGCTATTTCTTTGACTGGATACATTGGCTGAGGTAATGTTTTCTTGCTGTCTGGTGCTTTGAAAGCAGTAACAAACAGTTTGGAGCTAAAGATGAGGACACAGTGAGGTGTGAAAATATCATTCTCGGGTCTTGTGACGAATTGATTTCTTTTCAGGCCCCACTATTGTTGGTTTCACATCACTCTTTGAAGTTTGGGACTTGTAAAGAAGCCATGCCAGGAGACGTGGATACTTACAAAGCTCCTGAAGAAATGCACGACAGGGTTGACGTCTCCACGACGGCGGGTGGAAGAGTGGTGGGGTCTCTGTGGAGAGGAGGATAGATGACCACGAAATGAACCCTTCAAATAAACGAAAGAGAAATGTCCGAGTCAAGTTGCTACATACATTCAGACGACAACTTCTTGGATTGAATGTTCAATTATCACAAATTTTGATTACAATGACAATTGATTTGATTTGATTAACAATTAACAAAAAGCAGGTCATAAACAAATGGAGAAGAGTAAAAACAGAAAATTGAAATATGCTAACCTCAACTCAGCTTTGTAAATACATTGACATGATTAAACAATAAATAAGCGTGTATCCGATTAAGTGCGATCTATTGGAGGTAATTAAGTCGCTCTACACTCCCAAAATAGCAAACGATAACGTCACTGACTGCCCAACCAAAAGCTCAGTCTAAAGCTTCTTAATGCTGTGGGAATTCATTGGTTTTTACATTTGACGCAATGTGCTATGATTAATAGCTTCTAAAGAAGCCAAATGTGTATTCTCGTAAATGTTATGAATCACTGAACCTAAATGAATTTCTTTTTAAAACTAATTTAAATTATTTAAAATGATTAAATGACCCTGAAAGTATTCTCATATTGTGATATAACTTGAAATCTGAAGTCTGAAAAATGTATAAGATAAATTATATATATATATATATATATATATATATATATATATATATATATATATATATATATATATATATATATATATCCACTATTGATATACATACATTTTCACTTACTTACTTTTAATTGCATTTTATGTGAATAAGCATGCAGAAATAGGACTTAAAATACTATTTTAATATTTATTTATTTGTTCATGTTAAATAACTTATACAGTTGAAATCACAATTATTAAACCCCCTTAATTTTTTTTTTCTTTATTTAATATTTCCCAAATGATTTTTAATAGAGCAAGGAAAATTTCACAGTATGTCTGATAATGTTTTATCTCTTAAAGAAAAAAGTTTCTTTATTTATAAATAAAGTTTTATTTTGGCAAGAACAAAAACAGTTTTTTAATATTTTTAAAAGCCATTATAAGGTCAAACTTATTAGCCCCTTTAAGCTATATATATATATATTTTTCATAGTCTGCAGAACAAACACTCATTATACAATAACTTGCCTAATTATCCTAACTTTGCCTAGTTAACCTAATTATCCTAGTTAAGTCTTTAAATGTCACTTTAAGCTGTTTAGAAGTGTCTTGACAATATATCTAGTCAAATATTATTTATTGTCATCATGGCAAAGATAAAATAAACCAATTATTAGAAATGAGTTATGAAAACTATTATGTTTAGACATGTGTTAAAAAAAATATTATCTGTTAAACAAGAATTGGGGGAAAAAATAAACAGGGGGCTAATAATTTAGGAGGTTTAATAATTCTGACTTCAACTGTATAAAGAAATGCATGCATATTGCAGAATATAGTCTTGTAGACCAAGATGTAAAAAATGCTAATTTTATTTAGTGACGAAAGTCATGGTAAATTGAAACCATATCAGAATAGCCAGCAAATTTGCTGTGCATTTGAATTTCAATAAATAGAGCTCTGTGCCTATAAACTGCATCTCCATAAATGCAACACAAATGCAATCACCACTGACTCCTAAACCATATTGAACATACTCAATACTTTCCCCAAAGAATTTGGAACAAGAAGTTGTCGTTGACCATGCCAACATTTCAAAAACACCTAAAAAAATAAATAAATTAGAGACACTCACCTTTCCCTTTCTCTTCTTGTCTCCTCCGAAGAACCTGCTGATTTGATCCAGGACACCCGGGGCCTTCTTCTTTCTGCCCAGCCCGAAGGGGTTTTGTCCAGAGGTGCTTGCAGTGGCCATTCTAGGTGTTGATCTGTTCAGTGGTCTACAGTCTGGACGGCCTACGTATGTCCTTCTCCGCTCAATCCAAAGTCCGCTCTGGAGACGTTCTGCAAACCTTCTCGATAGTCTTCGGCGCTTCTAAGCACGAAGGGCTGGCCTTTGAAGGTGTCGTCCCCTCCGTTGCATGGCATCACAGGAGATGAGGTGGGCCTGCAATAGCGTCAGTGATACTGGGCTGGTGCCAGGCATTCTTTCGAGCCCTGTGTGCCCGCGGAGGGTGTCACTACCCTGCTCTCTGATAAAAGGAGCTGCTATTGTTCTAGTCCACATCTGCCCCGACTTGAGCCCAGAACAACAAGGCCTGTCTATGAGAAAGAAGCAGAGCACATCGAAGAACGGCTTTGGCACAATCAAACCATTGTTGTGGTGACTCATGTTCATTATACAAATAGTTTACGTTGAGGGATCACATATGGTGCATTGCAAACATGTAAGAGTTTGAAATTGTCATCTGCAGACAAACCACTCCATGTTTCATTCATCACGCAAGATGATCGAGACGTTGATGATGTTACGCTACACGCCTTTGTTTATTTCATTGATAAATTTTGGCCTTGAGATGCCGAACGAGTTCTTGGATTGATTTCTTGAAGTAGGTGCTGTAATTTGTATCCCAGATAAACGTTGCAATCTGCATTCGCCCCGCTTGCTCTGTTCGCTCCAAGTCTTGAAATATCTGCAAATTAATTTCCAGTGACTTTGCAATTCATTAACCAACTGCTGTGTGTGATACTCAGCATGGTTCTTTTCAGAGAAAACGTTATGAACACATGGACAAATCTGTCTCTGTCGAGGGTAAAAACGTTGTTGGCTTTAGTGTGCTGTTTTTTGCTGCCTTTTGTCAAACAATTGACAGTTGTTTGTGATGCAAGTATGGCCAGCAAACAAAGGCCACAGTGTTCCATAGTAAAACATTCTGCTTTTATTATTTATTCATTCACTTTTTTCAAAAAATGTCTCTTTTTGTTGTTGTTCCTGCACTGAAATGTCACAAAACTGACATTTTTGATCATATAAATAAAGGTTTACCTTTGCTGTGTTCGGCCAGATGTGCAGCTGCAATTTTCTTTGTCCTTAAGATGTTTGCCACGAGGTCATTAGAAGAGGAAATTCATTCAAGCTAGAAATCCAGACAACTGGGTAAACATGCATAGGCTAAAATAATGAGGCATGCATGTGAAATAGTTCAGGAAATAAAAGGCAGAAATGATGAGTTTGTAAACACATCCAGTCAATGTCATATACAATCAAATATAGACACGCAGCGATTTAAAAAATGATGGCATGTGATTTCAAATAGGAAATCTAAACTAGGATGTGCTGAAAGATGTAAAACGTGTTTAAATGTAAATAACTTTAGCTTTGTGAGTTTTTTTACAGTGGAGTTTAAAGAATGCTTGTTTATTCATCATTATAAGATAATATTTTTATTAAATGGTCATGGGAGTAAGTATATGTTAGTATAACTGTGATAAAAATGACGATAAATGTTTAATTCACCCCAATACTAAACCACCTTATTTCTTTATACATAATCCATTGATTAGATGGATTTCCATCTAATCAATGATTTCCATTGCATGGGTTGTTAGCATGGACAAATATTTGAAAACATGGAGGGTTTAAAAAAATCTAAATATTGAAAAATCACCTTTAAATCTGAACAAATTAAGTATTACTGTAGCAGTGCAAAGTACTAATCAGACATTGAGTTTATTAATTTATATTTATTATTCATTATTTGTAACAAAATCTGAAATATTTCTGTCATTCCATTTGAAATGTAATCATCTAAAGTAAATTCATAGGACCGTCAATATGCACTTTAATCCAAGGTTTATTGTAGGGCTGCACAATATATTGTTTCGGCATCAATATCACACCGTGTTCATTTGCAGTAGTCACATCTCAGCATCTGCAACATGGAGTTGGGATTGTTATTATTACATTTTACATAGCATTTGATTATTCAATAATAGGAGCAGGACAAAATAGCATATGTATGAGGTGGCACTTCTCATAGTAGCGGGTTGAACATACAGGGCTCAACAATTATGCACAACCCATTTTAAAAATGAATATTTGTATCTATTTGTCAGTGAGTGTAAGCAATGTATTTTGGTGAATTTAAACAAAACAGAATTATTAAACTGATATATTTATTCAAATAACAGTTTAGTCACCAAAGATTTTTTATAAATTGTCCGATTAAATTTAAGCAAAAAATTGCAAAAAAAATTACAATCTACAAAATTTCAACTGGATTTTTTATTCTTCTTCTTTTTTTTTTTACTTCTCTTGATTTTTCCTTTTTTAAATTTGTTTTTTAATGTTTTATAACTTATAAATTTGGGTGTACTAGTTTTTAGACTCCTAATCTAACGTATATGCACAAATATAATATTGTAATTTAAAAGTTGGACTTGTGAGGGGTGTATATCAATGTTGCAATTCTGAGAAACGTGTTGTTAATAAAATAAATACATCTTAGAACTTTTTGATGCATTTTTTGCTCTTTATTTACAAATATCATGATATAATGTAGATATTTTCTATTATTATCGGGGGCAAAATTTTATGACATATCGTATCATATTACTGTACTTGAATATTTGACTACTTGTTCACTTTTATATTTGCTCTATCTTATTTATTATTGGTATTTCTTTCATTTACTCCTCTACACGTTTATTTGATAACACTTTACAATAACAATACATGAATAATGATGTGTTATTATGTAAACTTAACATTACTTTATTATGAATTAATGATGAGTTAAGGCCCGCGCTAATCATGAACCAACTTTAACTACAACATGAGTCACATGAGTTGTGAACAATGGCTTCTTTAATTACTTGTTAGTTCAGATTGTTAATTAGTGTATTAATTAACATCTAAGTTAAGCTAAATGTAACCAACATAAACTCATGAGCTCTTAATGTATAATTGTGTCATGACTTTACATGGAAGGGCACATTATCATTAACTCATCCCTAACTACTGAACTCCTGTGTTTAAACTGCTGATGTTGATGTTGAACATGTTTCTATTGTTATTCAGTGTAAACGTTCTGAACGGACACGCATAAGGAGTTAGTTAAGTAGTTAAACATGGGTTAATGATGATGTGCCCCTTCAAGTAAAGTCATTATATACTTTTACATTAACATATCTTGAGTTCATGATGCTTAAATTAAGCATAAACATAAACATAATGTGATTATTAATGAATTAATCAATCTAAATTAATGATTTCATTACAAAAAAGAGCTATTCAAGTCATCTGTCAAATGTGTATTCATATAGCAATATAAGTTGCAGCAATATAAAATATTGCAATGTCTGATTTTTCCAATATTTCAGCCTTAGTTTACTGCTATACATGCAACAACCAGTGAGGTCTATCATTGCATCCAATACCAGCAATTTTGACCTTCTGCAAAAAGCTATGTTTGACATTCTGTTTATTCTCACTGATCAATAAGTAAATGTGGATATAAACCAAAAAGAAACCCTAGTAAAACAAATTTCCACATATGTTTTCAATTGTTTGTCACTGTATATCCTAAATTTAGCGCAATCTGTTGAGTACACATTGAGCATACTCTCAGTACATGCCCTTGTTTGTCTGTGTGCATATTCAACTAAGCAAGCCTGGCCTCTCAGTCTCAATTTATAGCAAACTCGGAGCCTCTATAAATGGATCTAGAAGCTTGTGTTTGTTGACTGTGACCAGTCCACAGAAGCTCATCTGTTGGCTGTAGGGCTGGTTATCTACAAACCTCCTACTGCTCTTTAACAGATCAGTACAGGAATGCGTGGAGTGGGCAGGTTGCACTGCAAGTGCCCTTGTGCTAAAGGCGAGAGGCTTTGTTGCTCAGAAGGGGATGAAAGACACACAGAGGCAAACAATACAATACTTGATGCAATCTAGTGGGACACAAACATGGGAGAGAGCCCAAAACAACGAGAAGTATGCGGATCACGACCAAGACGCCCACGGAGCAGCTTTGGCCCCAACACCACTTCCATTTGCTGTTGAGAAAGCAAATGACTGTGTAGACTTCATAGTGTGTATAATAGCTACTTCGCTGGGAAAAAAATGACATGTAATTATCTTCTATTGGAAATGCAAGATGACATGATTGATCTTCATTGATGATGAGCTGTGTCTACAAATATATGAGGCCAAGCAATTTAAATGTCAAACACAATAAACTGTGAATGAGACAGAAGTGGGTGTATTGTTTGGCTGGAAAGCATGTTTAGAACCATGGAAATGTGTATATTTCACATAGACAAGCAAAGTACACAGCAAACAATTTTGTGTTTAATAGACGTCTAATGGACATCTAAACGTAGACAGCTTGGCTAAAACAAGACTAAATTTGGGCTGTCAGTAAAAATCTAATAGACATCTAAGAATAGCCTAAAACTAGACTAGTCGTTAAATAGACAGATTAAACAGACTTTATATGTGAGGTCATTCATTCATTGACAGTACAAATGTTATTTTTGTTCTTAAGTTTAGATGTCTATTAGACATATTTTAGACATCTTTTAAAAACAAAACAAAAAATGCTTGCTTATTTGTGGATTGAGATAAATGTCTTCATACTTTTTTGGTAATACTTAAGTTCCAATTCTCATTATTAACTGGCTTACATACCTAATAAAAAGATAGCTAGTAAATATAAAGTATGATTTTATTCTATATTCCTATTCCTACCAATACCTAAACACAGCTACTACCTTAGTAACTATTATTAAGCGTTATTACAAGGCTGTCTAGATTCTTATAGACAAATTACCATGTTTGTAAACATTCAGTGTGCGCGCACAGCGAGGTAGCAGAAAAAAAAAACAAAAAAAAAAAAACAGGAGCACTAGCATTTACAGCGAGGGAATGACAAGGTATAGAGTTAGTTGTTGTCTTAAAAATAAGTTATAGTGATTACATACTATATCTATATTATTTACTTTCAGTGTATTATAACAGCTTGTCACCTAGTGATAAGCACAGTGATTCGCAAAGATAATGTTAAAGTGAGCGGCGTTCATCTGACAGGTCTATTTGCGATAGCACCCTCCCAATGGATATTGTATAAAACAAAATGGCCAA